AAAAAAAAAAAAAAAAAAATCCTTTTTCTCCATCATGTTGCCTACTGAAAATTGTGTTGAGGGGTAGCTTTATCATGAACAAAACTGGCCCTAGCTCTCTGAGCCTGGTTCATGTTCAGGGTCTAATCTGCCTTACTCTGGATAACTTCAAGTAGTTGTCTGTTGGCGAAAGATTGGCCATAAAAGGTGTTGCTAAAGATTTTCTCATTTAACAATTTTACTATAGATAAAAGAGATTAAAATTCCAAAATATCCAGTGATTTTAATTAGTCCTCAATCTTAAGTTTTGTGTCTGAGGAGCTTTGGACACATGGTATTAAGAAACTTTTTCTATCTGCAGATTGCTAGCCAAATTCAAGATTCCATCTTTTAAGTGAATAGATCAGATGGTAGACCCTGTCCTCCACCTGCTAGGCTGGTGTCCACAACAGATTTAACATTGAAAACTGATCAGTGAAAAGTCTGTCTGACCATGAAGAGCCGTTTAGGAAAGACTGAAACCTCAGTGATTTGCTTCTCCGAATGCTTATTTGTATCTGTGTCTGATCTAGCCAGTGAACTCGTGATGGTTTTAAACTCACATCTCTAGAGCATTGTGTTGAGATCCACTTATAACCAGGATCTTAAGGTAATAACGAAACATACCTGACAGAACAGTTTTCCTCAAATTACAAAAAAAAAGGAGAGTGGAGTGAATATCCATTCCTGAGATGCTGGAGAGTAGAGAGTAAAATTCTGTACTTTGCACTCGCCAGAAATAGAGTAACATAAACGTTGTCTAGGAAATGTTTGCAACAAACTCTTTGGTGAAAGTTAAAACACTTTTCAACGCCTCGATTTAGAGTATTTTTTGTGAGCGTAAAGAAGAGTATGGGCCAGGACCACCGACTAAGGAGTATGTGCACAGGGCCTGGCGTTTACCCGTCTACCCTCAGCTGGGCGGGGACCCAGACAGCCCTCAGCCTGCCCCAGCCCACGCGAGGTCCCAGTCCACGTTCCGCCCCTGCATTACCGACGCCCCCGCGGGCTGCGCCACTTTCTCCTCCTCTTCGTCCTCCGAGGTCGCTGTAGCTGCCGCCAGGGCCTTTAAGGGGTCTTCGCGTTCGTACTGGGCGACCCGCGCCCCAGTAATGGGATTGACCGGTACCTGGAGACTGGAGGCCGCCAGTTTCGCCGCTTGGTGGGAGGCGGCCATCACCCCGCCTCCGCGGCCTCAGCGCCTGCGCTGGCCCGGGGCGGGAAAGCAGGCGCGGCCCCTGGCGGCCCTGCGGCTCCTTGCTAGGGAGGGCGGTTGCTAGGGGCGCCGTAGCTGGGGACGCTACAGGGGCCGCGAGGGACCAAAAGTCACGCATAAACCTCGCAGGCTGCCAGAGACCCGAGTCGGGCGCTCACTGGATCGTGGCACCTAATAACGAGTCTGTTTGCTGGTTCCGAAGGTTGGCAGGCTGAGCAGGGCATTTATTCCACTGCTTTGCGTCTAACCGCCTAAACGCAAACTTCTCACATTATACAATGAAACAACTGCTTTTGTGAAGAAACGAGCGCTTTTTTATTAACTGCAATAACATGTGAGAAGGAGACGGTTGATGGAAGAGACGGCGGAGGAGAAGGAAAGCAGGGCGTGTTATTGGGTGGCATTCTCAGAAGAGTGGCAAGGGTGGCGTCCCGCTACCTAACATGGCTCCCCCGGGAGCCAGAGAGTGGGAAGGAGGAAGGTACATTCTACTCTGATTGACTTGAGGGCTAGCAGGAATCCACCAATCAGAAAGAGGCTCCCAGTTGTCCCTTTCGCGTTTTTCTTGGCCTGACCAATAAAAGCCCAGAGTTGAGTGGCGCCTGCCTTCCCACTAGTGAGTGACAGTGCGGGTGTTGTAAACCTGGCGTTTGCTTTGGGTTCGTCAGCTTAAGAGTGACAGGATTGAATGGCGCGAGTGCCCAAGTCACCACAGACACACCCATCTCCCTCTTCCCTATTTCTCTTCCCACTAGGGATTTGGGCGCATCAAATGGCGCCTTCCCTCTGCACCACGTGGCAATAAAGCCAAACCTCAAAATAGCGGAGTGGTGCAGTCTCAGATAGCTGCTTCCTAAGCCCCTGTTTACAGAGGTCGAGGCTGCCGCTCCCTCTTTACCCCCTCCCTGTTATTTACCCTCCTCCCGCTCCCCAGAGCTACGACCGCCCACTGGAGCCACCTCCGGTCAGTATTTTCCTCGTTATACGTTGCATGTCGTCGAGAACCTAAAGGTCTGAGCTCTTTACCAAACCTTCTTTGTTCTCCTGTCTGGATGTGAGCACCTGCAAAGTCCCCACTTTCTTCAGGCTAGTCTTTGTTTTGGCTGAACATTTGCTTCCCATGCTGAAACAGATGCTGGCTGGGTTCTAAGCAGAAGCCAGAGCCAGAACCATGAAATATGGACCGCCACGTGTGGCCAAGCGTCCGGGAGAGCAATTTCCAGTCAGTTACGGCAGCCAGTTTTGTGGCTGCACTTGCCTGTCTTGGGATTAGGTGTAAGCCAGACCCCAAAACAACAAGGCAGGTCCACATGATGGAAGCACTGCAAATGGAAAATTATAATAAAATAAAACACTAAAAGAATAGGAATTAGTGAGTGTGGAAAACATGTTGTGTGTGTATGTAGAAAAGCAGGAAAGTTTCAGTTCAGTAGTATTCTAAAATTGCAGATATCTAATAACATAAATAATAACATAGATCAAAGCATGTAGAGCACAGGCCAGGTGCAGTGGCTCATGTCTGTAATCCCAGCATTTTGGGAGGCTGAGGCTAGTGGATCACCTGAGGTCAGGAGTTCGAGACCAGCCCGACCAACATAGAGAAATCCCATCTCTACTAAAAATACAAAATTAGCCAGTCGTGGTGGTGCATGCTTGTAATCCCAATTACTTGGGAGGATGAGACAAGAGAATCACTTGAACCCAGGAGGCGGTTTGCGGTGAGCCCATTGCAGTCCAGCCTGAGCAACAAGAGCTAAACTCAGTCTCAAAAAAAAAAAGTATATAGAGCAGAAATGGACAGATCTATAGGAAGAAAATGACCTCTTACAGTATCATAGGAAGAATTGTTTTTGTACTTCGGTATTGCGATGTAACATATACAGTGAAATGAGTAGATTTTTTTTTTTTTTTTTTTTGAGACAGAATTTTGCTCTGTTGCCCAGGTTGAAGTGCAGTGGCATGATCTCGGCTCACTGCAACTTCCGCCTCCTCGGTTCAAGCGATTCTCCTGCCCCAGCCACCTGAGTAGCTGGGACTACAGGCACCCTCCACCATGCCCAGCTAATTTTTGTATTTTTAGTAGAGACGGGTTTCCATCTTGTTGGTCAGGCTGGTCTCAAACTCCTGGCCTCAGGTGATCCACGCACCTCAGCCTCCCAAAGTGCTGGGATTACAGGCGTTAGCCACCGCGCCCGGCCTAATGTTTGTATGTATGTATGTATGTATGTATGTATGTATTTATTTACTGATACACGCTCCAAGGTGGATGAACCTTGAAATATGATGCAAAGTAAAAGATGCCAGACACAAAAGGCCACATATTGTATGATTCCATTTATATGAAATGTTCAGGCTAGTAAAGTTCACAAAGACAGAAAGTATTTAGTGGGTGTCAGGGGCTGAAGAGAAAGGAAATGAGGTATGATTGTTAAAGGGAATGGAGTGTCTGTGAGGGAAGATGAAAATGTTCTGGAATTAGATAGTGGTGATGGCAGTTGTACAATTCTATGAGCATACTAAAAACCACTACATTGTATACTTAAAAAAAAAAAAAAAAACTTAAAAAAATGTTTTGTTGGCTGGGTGTGCCAGCTCCTGTAATCCCAGAACTTTGGGAAGCTGAGGTGGGCAGATCACTTAAGGTTAGGAGTTTGAAACCAGCCTGGCCAACATGGCGAAACCCTGTCTCTACTAAAAATACAAAAAACCAATTAGCTGGACATGCTGGCATGTGCCTTTAGTCCCAGGTACTAGGGAGGCTGAGGCAGGAGAATTACTTGAACCTGGAGGCAGAGGTTGCAGTGAGCTGAAATCGTGCCACTGCACTCCAGCCTGGGTGAAAGAGTGAGACTCCATCTAAAGAAAAAAAAATGTTTTGTCTTTTGACAGTTTGATTAGGAGGTATCTAAATATGGATCTCTTTAAGTTTGTTGAGCTTCTTGGATGAGCAGATTCATAATTTTTCATCAAATTCAGGGAGTTTAAAATACTAATTCTGCCCCTTTTCTCTCTCGTTTATTCTGGGACTCCCATTATGAGTGTGTTGGAACACTTGATGGGGTCCCACAGGTCTCTGAGGCTTTGATCATTTTTCTTCATTCTTTTTTCTTCCTGTTCCACAGACCTTATCATTCGGTCATATCAGTTGACCTACCTCCAAGTGTGCTGATTCTCTTCTGCAAGTTCAAATCTGCTGAGTGCCTTCAGAGAATTTTTTATGTCAGTTATTGTACTTTTCA